CGATAAGGGCCTAGTATTCAGTATATATAAAGAAGTCTAACAACTCAACAATTAAAAGAAAAGAACTCCAAATAAAAATTACCGATGAGGCACATCGGTAGCTCAGTCATTTGAGCATCAGACTTCAGTGCAGGTCATGATCTCCTGATTCGTGAGTTTGAGCCCCACATCAAGCTCTCTGCTGTGTGGAGCCCATTTTGGAACCTCTGTGTCCCTCTTTCTGCCACTCCTCCCTGTGTGTGCACATGTTTGTGTGCACTCTCTCAAAAATAAATATTAAAAAAAATCTTTTTAATTAGGTAAAGGATTAGAATAACATTTCTCTAAAGAAGATATCTAAATGTCCAATAAGCACATGAAAGTATAGTCAACATCATTAGTCATTAGGGAAATGCAAATCAAAATCACAATGAGATACCACTTCACACCCACTAGGGTGGCTATAAACAAAAAGATGGACAATGGCAAGGGTTGCCAAGGACATGGAATAACTGAAATCTAATTGTTGGTGGAGATTATGAACTGTACAATGATGACTCATGTGTTTTGGAAAACAGATTGGCAGTTCCTCAAAAGGTTAAACCTGAGTTACCCTATGAGCCAGAATGTGACACCTAAGTACCTAAGAAAATTCAAAATTTATGTCCACACACAAGTGTGTACACAAATGTTTATATTCATAACAGTCAAAAAGTAGAAAGAATTCAAATGCCCATCGATGAATGAATGCATGAATACAATATGGCGTATTCATATGATGAAATATTACCAGCCATGAGAAGGAATGAAGTACTCACATCACACATGCTACAACGTGAATAAACCTTGAAAACATGACAAAAAACAGACACAAAAGGCCACATATTGTATGCTTCCATCTATGTGAAATGTTCAGAATAAGCCAATTCATAGAAACAAAGTAGATTAAGGGTTGCCAGGGGCTAGGGGGAGGGGGAAATGGGGACTGACTGCTTATGGGTGTGTACTTTCTTTTTGGGGTGATGAAAATGATCTGGAGTTAGCGGTGACGGTTGCACAACCTTGTGAATATACTAAAAACAACCGAATCTCACAGTTTCAGTGAGTTTGGGTGAATTTTATGTGAATAATATGAATTTTATGTGAATTATATCTCAATCTTAAAATCAAAGACAGTGATGCAAATTTACATATCTGTTAATGAACTAATTTTGGATAGACCAACAATCTTTCCAAAAGCCATGAATGGAGCTGCCCATCTCTATGGCAGGGAAATGGATGAAAACTCAGTGTTAACAACGTATCTAGTTTCAGAGTCTGTCCTCACTGGTTAACACCAGCATCAAGCCAATTCTGCAGTAGTTTAAAAGTTCCACTTGGTGAGTTCTCCAACTCACTTGATCCATTGATCAGTCACCACCCCAGTGTGGGCCTCTCAAACCAAAGCCCACTGAAAGTAAGACACCATGAAATTAATGTGTTTGAAAATAGAGGGGCGCCTGGATGTTTAAGTCGGTTAAGTGTCCAACTTCAGCTTAGGTCATGATCTCACGGTTTGTGAGTTTGAGCCCCACATTGGGCTCTGTGTTGACTGCTGAGAGCCTAGAGCCTGCTTCAGATTCTGTGTCTCCCTCTCTCTCTGCCCCTCCCCCACTCATGCTCTGTCTCTCTCAAAAATAAACATTAAAGAAAATATTTTGTGGCACAAAAACAGATCAATGGAACAGAATAGAGAACCCAGAAATGGACCCACAAACATGTGGCCAACTAATCTTTGACGGAGCAGGAAAGAATATTCAATGGAATAAAGACAGTCTCCTCAGCAAATGGTGCTGGAGAAACTGGACAGCGACATGCAGAAAAATGAACCTGGACCACTTTCTTACACTGTACACAAAAATAAACTCAAAATGGATGAAAGACCTAAATTTAAGACAGGAAGCCATCAAAATCCTTGAGGAGAAAGCAGGCAAAAACCTCTTTGACCTCGGCCGCAGCAACTTCTTACTCGACACATCTCTGGAGGCAAGGGAAACAAAAGCAAAAATGAACCATTGGGACCTCATCAAAATAAAAAGCTTTTGCACAGCTTAGGAAACAATCAGGAAACTAAAAGGCAACTAACAGAATGGGAGAAGATATTTGTAAATGACATATCAGATAAAGGGTTAGTATCCAAAATCCATAAAGAACTTACCAAACTCAACACCCAAAAAACAAATAATCCAGTGAAGAAATGGGCAAAAGATATGAATAGACACCTCTCCCAAGAAGACATCCAGATGGCCAACCAACACATGAAAAAATGCTCAACATCACTCACAATCAGGGAAATACAAATCAAAACCACAATGAGATACCACCTCACACCTGTCAGAATGGCTCACATTAACAACTCAGGCAACAACAGATGTTGGCAAGGATGCAGAGAAAGAAGGTCTCTTTTGCACTGCTGGTGGGAATGCAAACTGGTGCAGCCACTCTGGAAAACAGTGTGGAGTTCCCTCAAAAAGTTAAAAATAGAACTACCCTATGTCCCAGCAATTGCACTACTAGGTATTTATCCAAGGGACACAGGTGTGCTGTTTTGAAGGGGCACATGCACCCCAATGTTTATAGCAGCACTATCGACAATAGCCAAAGTATGGAAAGAGCCCAAATGTTCACTGATGGATGAATGGATAAAGAAGCTGTGGTATATATATACAATGGAGTATTAGTAGTCAATCAAAAAGAATGAAATCTTGCCATTTGCCACTACGTGGTTGGAACTGGAAGGTATTAAGCTAAGTGAAATTAGTCAGAAGAAGACAAATATCATATGACTTCACTCATATGAGGAATGTAAGATACAAAGCAGGTGAACATAAGGGAAGGGAAACAAAAATAACATAAAAACAGGGAGGGGGACAAAAGACTCAAGTATAGAGAACAAACAGAGTTACTGGAGGGGTTGTGGGAGGGGGGATGGGCTAAATGGGTAAGGGGCATTAAGGAATCCATTCCTGAAATCATTGTTGCACCATATGCTAATTTGGATGTAAATTAAGCAATAAAAGATTTTAAAAATAAATTAATTTAAAACATTTCTTGAAAATACAATCAAGTGGGGCGCCTGGGTGGCGCAGTCGGTTAAGCGTCCGACTTCAGCCAGGTCACGATCTCGCGGTCCGTGAGTTCGAGCCCCGCGTCGGGCTCTGGGCTGATGGCTCAGAGCCTGGAGCCTGTTTCGGATTCTGTGTCTCCCTCTCTCTGCCCCTCCCCCATTCATGCTCTGTCTCTCTCTGTCTCATAAATAAATAAACGTTAAAAAAAAATTTAAAAAAAAAAAAAAGAAAATACAATCAAGTGGAAAATTCTGTAAAGTACTAGGAAGCCATATTTGCTTTTTTTTCTAGTTTGCAATCCCATGTCTTGGCACCATTTTTACCTGGAACAAAAATGTAAAGGGAGGTATTCTTTACTACAGGTCCTATCTTTTAAGCATAATTATTAAATATTTGTGTTTATTTTATCAGGTATTCCAAAAACACATTAATCCAAAGCTGTTCAGAATTCTCTGAAACTGATAAAAGTCACTATTAGATATATTGGCCAAATAACTACACCCTGTTTGAGGATAGTCAGCCTAATTTAGTAAACCAAAACTATGTCTAGATTTTAAATAAAATGTAGGGATTTTTAAATTGTATGTAAGAAACAGTAGTTATATCTGGCTCTATTCAGGTATATGCTCTTTATTTTTAGTTGATTGGACTGGTAAAGAATTTAAAGAGAAAAAATGGAAAATCCAATTGTAATATTGTTAGTTTTATCTTCCTATTTGAAATAATACAGGTAAATTATTTTTTGAGCTATTACTACTGAGTTCTGTACATTGATTATATAATTAAATCATGCATAAAAGCAGTTATTAGACCATCCTAAAAGGAAAAACCTGTTCTTTTTAATTTACCTGTTCTTTTTAATTTAATTAATCTAAGACCTCCTGCAAGTATTCTCTATCCAGGTAATTTTTTCAAGATTTCATAATTCATATGAAAGTAGCCTTTTTCTAATTACAAAAGCAGGGTGCCTGGGTGACTCAGTCAGTTAAGCATCCAACTCTTGATTTCGGCTCAGGTCATGATCTCACGGTTTCGTGAGTTCGAGCCCCGCATTGGGCTCTGTGCTGATGGTGCAGAGCCTGCATGAGATTCTCTCTCTCCCTCTCTCTTCCCCTCCTACCCCTCACACACTCTCTCTCTCTCTCAAAAATAAATACATAAACTTAAAAAAAAAAAGCAACACTGCAGGCTAGAGGAAAGCAATGAAGAAAACCTTCCCATCCTAGTAACACCCTCCTCCCCCCTTCCTCCCCCCCCCGCCCCCACCAATCTTTGGATGAGCGTTTGTCTATCTTTTCACTCAGAATTTTCTATGAATCCTACACACACATGTGGATTTACCTGGATGGCATCTTAGTATACCTACTATTTTATAACCTGCTTTCTTCACATGATGTATTATAAAAATTCACATCAATAAGTACAGATATACATAATCACTGCATAGAATTACATTTCTACCAATATTATGTAACATATTATATATATTTAATATACTGCCAGACAAAAATATATTTTTGTTTCTAATGTAGTTGAAAATAAAAAAATTTTCCCCCATTTCTTTAGGACCAACTCATTTGGGAAAGCATGTAGGAGAGGGATGCTTCTTGAAGCTAGTAGAGTAGTGCATTACTAATTTCCTAAGCACACATCACCAGCTTCACTCTCTTCAACCAGAGCAATCTTGGGAAACTTCACCCTTTTATTTAACATCAAATTCTCTGGGACTAGAGACCTGAACTAGGACGTAATTCAAAAGGTACTTTTATTTGTGTCACTGTCTAGGCTGCCACCACCAGTTGTAGTTTCCGGGAAAGAGTTTTCCCCCCAAACATTTCCATATATAGATACATTTGCTTTATATATTTATATTTATGTTTATATTTAGAACAGCAATAAAAACATGACCTGGAATTTGATTAAGCTGTTGTTTGATATTAAATTGATAGCATTCACAGCCGATTCACCACCAAGATATTTAGAGTTAGCCTAATAATCTGGGGTCACTGCAAAAATAAGACCCGGGATCCAGCTTGAAGAGAAGCAGCTCACAGACAGAGCCGCATTCATGGCAAGGAGAAAATGGCATCGAAAAGACGAGGTAGCAGCAGGAGGGACGTGAGTCAGCTGCAGAGGCAAACCGCACCCTTTGGGGGAGTTTCCCGGCTCACGTCCAAGTAACAGGAATTCTGGAGACTTAGGAAGTGTGAAGAGCAAAGACATTAGACTAAGGAGAAAAGCAAGCGGGACAGGGGGCGGGGATGGGGGTGGGGGGAGAGATGATGGCAAATACCACTGTTCCGGAGGAAGGCATTTACTTAAAACAAAAGCGTGCATAATTTTAGCTGTACCCATGTTTCCTTCTCATCCTCTTTTGCTTTAACAATATGTACCCCGGTTGAGTGAAACAGAATGGAAATTTAAGGAAGGACGTTGAATTTGGTGCCTTGGATATTCTCCCCTGCCTCTGGCCCACCGCGGTGATGGTGCTGCTATGATTCCAAGGGCCCCGGTTTTGCTGGCGCCAGGTGCTCACCCCCTGAAGCTGAGCCTGCTTCTCGGCTGGGGGTGGGTGGCCTGGAGGAGGTCTTGCTGGCTCTGGCGGTGGCGGCTCCCCTGGAGCTCTTGGGTTTGGTGTTCAGGGTATTCAGGAAGCCTAGACAGAACACCAGGGAGCCCATCTCTGTTTACCCTGTAGGAGGCTAAGGGTGGGGTGGGGGATGTTCGAAGGTGAAGATAAGCCCTGAAGTTTTGCAGGTCGTTAAACAAGCCCTAATTGAATGAGATCCACGATTTCAGAAGAAATGGTGCATGATCCTTTCCAAAAGAAGCGTGCGGAAATTCTGAAACTCACTCTAAAGGCAAGCATGGAGGGATGCCCGGGGGGCTCCCTCAAGGGTCGACTGGCGACCTACTCTGATTTCAGCCCAGGTCATGATCCTGGGATCGAGCCCTGTGTTGGCCTCTGCGCAGAGCGTGGAGCCCGCATGGGATTCTCTCTCCCCCTCCCTCCCACTGCCCCCTCTCCCTCTCCTTCTCTCTCTCTCAAATTAAAAAAAAATAATAATAAATTGGCCTTAAAAAAAAAAAAGTCAAGCATGGAAATGTGACATGGAGGAACAAGATTATCTGATACCTACAAATATCAGAAAGAACATGAAATGACTTGAGTTTTGCCTGTGCCTGTGACTACCTGAAGGAGCTGTCTTCACATGCCACCTTCCTTTGGGACAGTCCTGCCCAGTCCCCTATCTTTGCATGGATCTCACTGATGGATCTGAACTGGCAACCTCATTTCAGAGAATGTGGAAAATTCCTTAAATAGAATTCATCACGCCCCACCCCACCTCACCCTCAGGTTTTCTCAGGGTTCTTCTCAGCCCCTTTGCCAAACTTGTAGGTGATGTGTGCAAATGTGGGTAATTTCTACTTCAGATCAGTTACTCTGTTTCTGTGAGATGATTCACATTATTTGTACATAAATATTTTAGTGAGTTGTAGTAGCCATAATCTGCAAAACTGCATTGTCCACATTATCAATTTTACAATCACCTCTACTCTACTTGTATTCAAGGAGCCTTCCAGAAGTATCTGAAAGTTTATTTTGGACCACTTCTACGTCATGTCTTTCACTAGCATCTAAAAGAGCCAATCTCGCTCGAGCCTTCATCTGAAAACGTGCCATCTGGCACCTTATCACCCTAAGTTGCTGAGACACTGCACACTTTTTAGTTTTAGTTAGGTGGCTCCTTTCTTTTTTAACCAGCATCTTCCTCATACTAACACTTTTTAATGGTATTTTCACTATTCGAAGTAACATAGAAAGCATTCACCTCTAAGTGACATCCTGGTTCCTCTTGATAAAAGGAAAAAAATCCAAATGGGACTGAAATCTAGAAAGGGAGCTCACCCAGACCAGCACTCAGAGGGAATTGGGTGGGGGGGGGGGGGAATTCAATGTCCACCAAGTTTGTAAAGCATTAAAAATAATTCTCCTCCCAACCCCACCCTGTCTTGTACTTAGGAAGAAAGAATGCAGGGTATAAATAATGAATGAATAGAATAAATAGATATGATGGGGATGATGTGTGTAAAAACAACTGGTCATACTTTTAGACTTGTGAAGTCAATTCTTTAGCTATGTTTTGCCCTATATAGAGGCTTAAGAATATTCAGATGTGTATCTGTTACACGAAATAATCACTTCAGTTCTAAAAATACTCTCCTGCTACTAACTCAATTAAAAAAAAGTGCAGCAGGAAAGCTTAATTAAGCTTTCTAGGTTGTTAAAACTCTGCTTCCAGAAAAAAACTATACTATTCTTAGAGTCCCCCAGTCCAATTGCAAAGAACAACTAATGTGTTATCAGTCCAGAAATGGTTCCTTTCTTGTGCTTAGCACTGAGATCATTGCATGGGATTTTAATTGAGTAAACCCAGACCGTGCTGGGCAGCTGAAGAGAACTTTGTTCTACGAGTAACATCAGCCTCAGGAGAGCAGAATTGACAAGACGCCAAATTCCTTCAAGAAATTTGGGACTAGTTGAAACCACCCTACCCCACCTTGCTTTGATGATGGCAATTGATGATAAGTTTTAATTTTTCAGCACCTGGTGTTAACAGCAGTGTGCCCAGATCCAAAACAACAACAAAGAAAGAACTAAAACATCATTTACAGATTGGCAACATGTCCCAGAACCCACAGAGGGAACAGAGAGTAGCAGGGTGAGGAGAGAAACCTGATTCCCTCTCCAAACATCATAAATGAGAAAATCCAACCTGCTGAAAGGCCACACAAAACAGTCAAGAAATGTGTTGTTTGGGGGGTCTGGGAAAGGAACCCATAGGCAGGGCTGGGAATGGCTTTAAGTAGATTCAAAGGCTGAGCCCTCGGGAGACACAGTCTGGGGACAACACGTGCCCCTCAGACGCAGGACTTGACTAAGACGCTAATAACCCACCCTGGGTTTCAGGCCAGGTGCCAAGTGGTGCAGGGCACAACCTGGTGTGGGGATCTGCACGGGACCAAGTGTCCAAGATGAGCAGCCCGAAGATCAGAAGAAAACCAAGGCTCTCCAAGGAAAACGATGAGGTATAGCTAAGGTTTCTCCATCACAGGACACACTTCAAAGTGGCAGGTGCGGTGCTGGGCTCTGGGGATTCAAAAGTGAACAGTCCAGGGCTGGGGCCTGCCTCCAGGGAGCGGATATTCTAGTAAAAGAAAATAGACAGTAAACAAAAATATACCCAAATGGATAGTAACAAAGAATGGCAAGTGTTAGGAAGGCAAACAGAAGGTACTATGAACTTCACCCTTGATCTCTGGCCCGACAGGCTCCTCCTCCTACCTGTCTCTGTCTTTGGCTCCTCCTTCTCCTTCCACTCACTAAGTGAACACAGGCCCCAAGGTGTTGGACTAAGGGTCTGCTCAGCATTCTTGTCCCGACCACTCTGCATCCACCACTGCCAAGAGCTTACACCTTCGCCTTAAAAAAACTGCCTTCTCAACTTCATCCAGGCCTGATCACGTCCCTGAGGCCTGACATGACCACGCCCCCAAGCCCAGCTGACCACGCCTCCGAGGCAGGCCAGACCACACCCCCAGGCCTAGCCTGACCAGGCCTCCAGGGCTGGCCTGCCTCCTCGGCCTCAAGAAAACTCCAGGGCTCATTAAAACAAGGTTGTGGTGATGGCAGCAGTAATAACCGCTGAATTCTGCACTGAAAATGCGCGAGTTTTATGGTACGTAAATTATACTTCAGTGAAGCTTTAGGAAACAAAGGGAAAAGTCCAACAGCACCCAGCCCTGGCCCCCATTCCAAACTTCCATATGCATGCCCTTGTCACCAGGGAGCCACCTCTGGCCTCAGACATGAATCACCCTTGACTCCTCCTTCTGAGTAACTCCCCAAGTCTAGCAAGTTGCCAGTCAGCCAACTCTCACCCACCAGTATTTCTCAAATCCAGGTCAGCCCCCATCACCACCCTTGCTGAGCCCCCACCATGACTCCACAGTGCCCTTGTAGGGCTCTCCAGTCGGTGGTTGGTAGCATGGGCACGGCCACCTAGGAGCACCTGCCCCTTTGGAAGCGTGCTTTGGGTTGTCGTATGGATCTAAGGCACTGGGCATCTGCGGGTGGGGAAGGGAGGCCAGAGAAGTTCACACATCAAACAGTCCCCCTGTTCTCCAGGACTTTAGAATGTCCTAGCCACTCTCTTCCATACAGGGAAATCCGGCCTGCTGTTACTTATCCTGATACTAAGTCATTCTTGTACTGACTTGTTCCGCTCTTTGTTTTCCTGCATTTCTTACACAGAATGCCTTCTTCTATTTTCTCGAATGCAAAATTACTCATTCTATCTAGATGTGAGCAGCTGATTCGCTCACCGTGTCTTTACAGTGAAGGAGCAGGGCAGTCCGCAAACGCTCACGCTGTCCTGCTTGGATGTGGCACCAGCAGGGACCTGCCCCCCCTCCCTGCTTCTTCCAACAAGAGGGGCTGCCCCCGGGCTCAACCTCCCTGGGGACAGGTGGTTTTCTGCACCTTTCCTGGGCCCAGGGTCTCCAGTTGCTAAGCAGCTGGCGCTCCCAGCCGACTGCTACAAACAGCTGGCACTTACAAACCAGACTTCCTGGCACCAAGAGGCCTGGGTATTCCCCTATAACAAGGCCCACGTGGGCCCTATAAAAAGGGAGAGTGATAGAAGTAGGGAGCCTCCACCAGGACACCCGCCTGCCAGGCCCCGCCCTGCTCTCTGGGGAAGGCAGGAGGATAGGGTCATTCTTCCCCTCTAGCTTGCTGACCCCGGCTGGTATGGCCTGTTCCTTAAGCTCGTGACAGTAACCGTGTGAAGCCCCACCAGAGCCCTGGGACCCGTGCTGCTATTCTTTGCTCTCTGGGTCAGATTGCTTTGGACTTCCTCACGCCCCGTCCTCAGGGCAAGCGGCCCTGCTCACCACCGCTGGTCAGCAGTGACCTCTCCCTTCCCTGACTCATAACATTTTATCCATAGCTCTCTAATGCTATAGATCACTTCCTTCTTTCCATTCCTCCCACAGCAGTGCTTCCCACGCAGGGTCCTATCATGGCCGAAATATTTACTGAACATTTGTGATGGTCAAGATACTATTCTAGCTCCTGCAGAGACTCGTACATAGGGGACGTGGTCCATACCTTTGAGAAGTTCGTAATATACTCACTTATAGCCCTTGCAGTGAAAGGACATCAGTAGAAAAGGGAGACAGAGAGAGGAAGGAGGCAGCATTTACAATCAGATAAGGATAAATGTCACTCTGTTCAAATCCACTGTGTATTCCCAGCCAGGACATCGTGACATGGTGACTAAGCTAGGGAGTCCAGGTGCTGGCCATAGCAGTCCTCCCCAGGAAGGTCCCCCTCAAGCTCAGCAAGGACAAGGTCCTGTCCTATGGGCCTCGTGAAGTCCCCTCAACACTGCCCTGTGCTGTTGGATTGGAGAAATCAATTTACTTGGGGAGGAAGAGAGTCCTCCATGAGAATCTCTGGGGTCCTCGCATCCTTTTTTCTAAGACAGAGATGGGGGGTAGGGAGTGCGGCTTTTGGCCATGACAGAGGGAAGCCCAGTTGCCACTCCTCTGGGGGACCCTTATGGTCCGGGCTGGTTGCAAAGGCCAAATAGTGTCTTCTAAAGTGAACAAATGAATGGAGGAAATGAATGAGAAAGTAAGTCCCCTGAAATAAAATGGTATATGCCATGCCCACGCGTGGGCTTGGGCTTCTAGATCACCACGTGCTCATTGTCCCACAGCATTGCTCCCCCACAAAGTAAGAAGATGGGCCAGCCCCAGGAGATGGGGGAGGGTCCCCAAGAACCTTCTTCTCTGTTCTTTGGCAAACAGTGCCATTTCCAGCCGAGGCACACTGGGCACCTGGGCAGGCTGTGGCTGGAGGAATTGGTCATGGCGTGGTCAAGGGACAAAGGGCACCTGTGTTCATTAGTGGGAAGTGAGAGAATATAGACATGATATCGTCAGACTGAGCAACATGCGGCTCCCGACTTGTAAGTGATTCTCGTAGACATAAAATGGTGGCATCAACACCTTCTGTCTCAGAAAAATAACTCTTGCACCAAAAAATGCTTCAGCCACAAAACTTTTGCTTTGTTCTGAGGCGGTTAGTGGGCCTTACAGGGCCAGAGGTTTGTGACAAGAATTTTCATCCTTGCTCTGAAAGCAATGGCGACTTTCCAGGTGCGCTGAACAGCCCTCTCAGGTCTCCCCAGGCTCCCCGCCAGCTACCGCTCTGTCTTGGATGTGCCAGGGTTAGCGTCTTAAAAATAAAGACTCCTTCCAAATGAAAGCTAGGGAGACTCGGTGATATTTCTGCAGACAAGAAAGAGGATGTTTACCCAGACCCAAGCTAGGTGACTGGATGGTTCCTTCCAGAGGCTCAGTTGTCCTTCTTAAGCCCCACCCCCACCCCAGCCTCAAACTGGGCATGTCCCCACCTTCATCCAGCACGGTGCTGCGTGTTGATCTGAGGAAGCTTTCAGCCCATCCAGGTGGACACACACACAGTCAGGAGCACCGGGATTGGATGGGCGGGGGGGCACAGACCCAGCACCTTCTTCCTTCTCATCCAGTCAAGCAATGCTGTCTGGGGCCTACCCATCCTGCCCCACGTCACACACCTCTCAGCTTAAGCACTAGCCAGTCAACGGGTCCATATGGAAGTCCAGCCTGTGCACATACCCTGCCTGGCTGGAACCTCGGGCGGCATGAGGGATGATGGCAGGCAGCTAGAGAGCAGGATGTGTGGGGCCGCTGGCCAAGGAGGGCTCAGAGAGACCCTTTGACGTCTGTCTGCCAAGACCCCACCTGGTCCCTATGGGCCCAAAAGATTCATTTCAGGCACACAGGGCCCAGAGTGCCTTGGAAACCTGCTCTTATTTTTTGTTGTTGTTTTTAATTTTTTTAATGTTTACTTGCTTTTGAGAGAGAGAGTGTGAGTGGGGGAGGGGCAGAGAGAGAGAGGGAGACACAGAATCTGAAGCAGGTTCAAGGCTGTGAGCTGTCAGCACAGAACCGATGCGGGGCTCAAACTCACGAACCACGAGATCATGACCTACGCCGAAGTCAGATGCTTAACCGACTGAGCCCCCCAGGTGCCCCTGGAAACCTGCTCCTATTAAGTAACAACTCTTTAATCGTTCTGTTTTTCTCAATAATCCTTCAACAGAGTCTCAGGTCAGACTGAGAGGCCTGTGGGTAGATGCGAAGCCCTCCTGAAGCCCATGTGCGTGGCCTGTGATACGGGCACAAGTTGCCTCCACTCAGTTCACACTCCCACGGAACCCAGGGCCGCCTTCCCTCTCCTCATGCTTCATACTTTGGAGACACTTGGCTGACACACTTCTCCTGCTGACATGAATTACTTGGACGCCTTCAAACCCCAAACAAGGTCACACAGCAAACCACATCTCCCTGTGCAGCCAGGCCTCCACTCCCGCCAACCCCAGGAACGACTTAGAAAGAATAAAATATTAGTGGCGGTATTAATGCTGCGCCCTCCCAAGACTCTGGCCCCTTCAACAGAGGCAGCCTGTCTTGTGAACGTGGTCTGGAGTTTCTCTGCTTCTTTGTCATGTGTTTACAGATAGAAAAGTGCCGCACGCGATATGGTGTAGTTTTGTGGGCACTATGGGGATAATGTCACTTCTTCAACCATTTTTCTTCACTTACTTTGCTCTGCTGAGACGGAGCCCATCAATCCATTTCGTATGGGGTTCTCCTGAGCTCCTGGCCACCACCCGCACCCCCAGAAAGGACCTGCATTTGCTGACTCTGAGGCTGTGAGTCTGGCCAAGGAGCTCCGTGGCTCCTTCCACACCACAACATGATCATTGCAGTGATAATGTCACTTAAAGAAATGAAAAGCGGTTAAGCGTCCGACTTCAGCCAGGTCACGATCTCGCGGTCCGTGAGTTCGAGCCCCGCGTCAGGCTCTGGGCTGATGGCTCGGAGCCTGGAGCCTGTTTCCGATTCTGTGTCTCCCTCTCTCTCTCTGCCCCTCCCCCGTTCATGCTCTGTCTCTCTCTGTCCCAAAAATAAAAATAAAACGTTGAAAAAAAAAATTTTTTTTTTAAAGAAATGAAAAGCAAGTTGTGTTGGCCCAATTTTACATTGAGAAGGGGTTCTGCGGGCCGCTTGAGGGTTGCAAAAGACCCTCAGGGCCAGGGGACACCTAAATGACAGTTTCCAGATCTGGTGACAGCCCTGGCACCCTAAAGAGCACCTAGTCCTGGCAAGGAGCAGAGGGAGCTCCAGAGCCCAGGCCAGGCTGGGGCCTGATGCTTTACCTGCTTCACCTGCCTCCCCAGCCACTGCCTTGTTTAGACACACCTTTAACCTGTACCTGTCAAAAGCATCACCAAGAGCAGCCAGCAGGGGTTCCTTCCCATCAACCCCCTGATACCCAGGGCCCCACTGAACAGGGAATCCTTCTAGAAGGGCTCTATGTGTGGTAAACCCCCCTCCAA